TGAACACAGGAACCAGGGCCGTCCCTGTAGAAGCAGTAGAGGAGAAAAAAAACAACAAAACACACTGGCATTTCAGATTAAAAATAAAAAGTCAGAGACAACTAGGAATAAAGGGAAACTTGTTCCGTACAACAAAAAGCCCCACAGAAAGCCCACTGCTACCAAGATCTTAAGGATGAAAGAATGCAGAACGCCTCCCCGGAAAGAGGACAAAGCAAGAATTGCACTTTCCGCCGACATTATACCAGAGGCTCTAGCCGGTAAAAACGAAAACAAGAGGCCTCCAGATGGAAAACAAACCAAGCTGCGTTCGGGTACAAACAGGATCATTTACGTGCAAAGTCCAGTGGAAATTTCAAAACTGTACTAGAAAGTACAGCTTATTCCATTTTCAGAACAATAAATCAATACAGAAACTTAATATTTGTTGTTGATAATAAAAACAATTATTGTTTAATATTTAAAAATCAACATGAATTATGCTATCAAAAGTAGCATCTATTTAGGGACATATCTGAAGAAATATATGAAGCACACAAAAACAGGGAAAAGATAGGTAACATGTGTACATTGGAAAGCCACACATCTCTGAAGGAAAATTTAACAAGATGCATCGATGGAGAGATGAACTACATTCACAAACCAGAGGTTTCTACATCTGGAGGTGCCTGTCCTTACCGGATTCAGAGTGTAGTTTTAACAAGCAACGTCTGTGGTAAAAACAGAGAATTCTAAAAATTTATATTAAAAAGTACTGGGCCTAAAGTAGCCAAAGTCACCATAAAAAAAAATCACAGTTTGTTGGATCACAATACTCAGTCACAGACTGCCATGGAAGCTACAGGACCACCACCTTATAGTTTGGGTGTCAAGGCAGACATGTGGAAAATGGAACAGACTAGAGATTCCCACCCAGCTATATATGGAAAAGTCAGTTCCCTAAAAATCTGGTAATTTAGTGGAGGAAAGGCTAGTCTTCTCAGCAAATGTCAGATCCTACAGGTAAAAGGAAAGGCTTTGATCTATACTTCACATCATACATAAGAGTTAACTCAAAACATATTGTAAATACTATCAGGGAGTCTGTAGGACCTAGGTAAAGCAGTTTCATTAGATTTTTTTAGGCCTGCTGGACAGCATAGGCTCCGTTTAGGGGTCAAAATCAGCTGCTCGTCTCTGCCACGCGTGTTTCTCCAAGAACAAAGCCTTTGTAAAGTTAGGGGAAACACATGCACACAGAGACTGTACAGGCACTGGATTGGATGGTGAATCTGCTTGGGCTTCTGAGGGTGCTTGTTTTCAAGTTGAGAAACAGACCTCACAAAACTGCATTCATATATTTTTCTATCCATGACATAGTCCAAGCCTTACGAAGCAAGGGTTTAAAGAACACTTGCTCATCTGTGTGTGTGTGTGTGTGTGTGTGTGTGTGTGTGTGTGTGTGTGTGTGTGTGTGTGTGTGTGGGGGGCGGGGTGACGAAATCACAGCTGGTGAGGAGCAGAGAGAGTGATTCTCTGCAGAGTTGGAACCTGATCTAATCACCGTGGTACTGAGATAGCAGTTAATTGACAGTTCTCTAAAACAGACCCAGCTAGCAAATGGGCATTTTCTGCAGTAAACGTTATCTATTTATGAATTAAGAACTTGATGGGATTAAAGAAAAATGAACTAATATCTTGGGGGAGAGTACCCTAATTTTTTTCACACTGAATTTCCAGATATCTGTGCTGTTCTAACAGATGGCCTCACTTGTGCACGGTTCCCTGGCAGGGTAGCAATTATCACTATTATTGTCTTCATTGCATGGCAACCCTGGGCTAGGCACCAGGCTAGATATTTCAGACTTTCCATTACGGGACCTCTGTTATTCAGGTTCTCACTACACTAAACCTTCAACAGTCAGAGCCAGTCTCATTTCTTTCAGCAAAGACCAAAACCCAGAGAGAAGAGTTCAGAGGGACACATGTGCATATACATATACACTTATACACATACACATACATATACATATACACATACATACACACATACATACACACATACATATACATATACACATACATATACATCTCAGTGATATCACCTTAGCTAGGCAATAAAAAGATGAATCTCCATAGATGTGATTTAGATAAAGATTTGAAATAGGAAAACCCTCCAGGATGGGGCTGGGGTGGGGGGCAGGGGGGCATGGAGGGAGGGAGGGAGAGAAGGAAAGAAACCACTTGAGGTAGAAAGAGAGTGGGGTGACCTGGCAGGAGCCAGCAGGTGTTCAAGGTGGAAGATTTCTCTATGGAGCACCTGGGGGGAGGACAGCTCTGCCAAGCAGTTCGGATTCAGATCACAGGCTCCAAATCTGCAAACACACCGTCCTGTGGTCTCAGCCTTCCAGAGCTACATGGGACTTTGTCACCACGGCCCCAAGAAACCAACATAATGACAGACATGGGACAAGGATGGTTTAGACACAACACAAAAAGGCAATTCATAAAGAAACAAGCTGGTAGACCAATTAAAAATCTGCTCTTAAAGCAACACTATTGGAAGAAACGAACCTCACCAGGAAAGGGATTGCAAGCCATGTGGCTGAAGGAGGGCTTGCTTGTAGACCATCACAGATTCTTAGGTGGCACGCAGTGGCACTCAGGGCTAAGATGGGGTGATGTGCGTGTCAGGCTAGCTCAGACAACACGGTGCAATCCTAACTAAAGCAATTACAAATACAAATATGCACATTCTCAAAACTCCACAGTGAGACAACAGTCAACCCAATTTAAAAAGCAGGATGGTTAAAAACAAAAAACCCTGAATGGATACTTCTCCAAAGATAACACACAGATGGCCAACGAGCAATTAAAAGACACTCCTGGTTTGTTACTAGGGAGACCACACACCCATTTAAAAGCCTAACCACAGCAGCAGACAAAGACGCAGAGAAACTAGCTCCCACACAGTGTTGTTGACTGCAATAGGCAACCTGGAAAGTGCTGCATTAATTTCTTAAAATGTTAAACACAAATTTAGTGTATTTTGTGGTCAACCCACCCCTATGTATTTACACAAGAAGACGGAAAGCACTCATGGGCACGAAGTTTTATTCACATACTCTCGGCAGCTTTATTTGGAATAACCTAGCCCAGAAATAACCCAGATGCCCATCGGGCTGTGAAGAGACGAGGAGCTTTGATTCAGCCAGACAATGGGATGCTTCCAGGCAGTGAGAAGGAATAAAAGTATTTTCTCTGAAGGGCCCTTCGCGACACTAGAGCAGCAGGACACGAGAAGCCAAAGACAGAAGAGAGCAAGGCGTGTTCCTGAGACACCGTGCTCCGAGAGAAAGCTGCTGCAGGAATGTGGGGGGTAGGCAGCACCCAGAAGCGAACACCGCCTGACACCTGGCACCCCTTACGGTGACATGGGTCGAGGTCAGGCACCTAGGAGCCCCGGCCACACTTTGTGTCTGTTTGATGAGTGAGTGACGCACACCAGGCTGAGGAAGGCACACATTGCTTAAACTTTTCCTTTGTTCACAGAGTCTCCCACAATGACAGACTTTTCTCAACAAATACCTTCCCCCAAAACACCGGGCTCAGCTCATGCCTCCCTTGGGTGGGGTGGAGGGAGCTCTCACATCTTCTTATCCAGGGAGGGCTTGACAGAACTACCCCATGAGCATGCAGGGAAGGCAGCAAGGCCAGAGACTGCAGGGTCGCTGGAGACTGTGACTAGCATGAGACCAGGAGGGTACACGAAACCAGAGTCTTGAGGCAGGGAAAGCGAGTCTCAGCTGGGTGGGAGGAAGATCCAGGGGGTCAGGGTGGGGGAAAATAGAGGTCCCACCCCCAGGCCCAGGGTTCTGCACATAAGTGAGGCCCCACCCTTCAAGCCCAGGGTTCTGCACATAAGCGAGGTCCCACCCCCAGGCTCAGGGTTCTGCACATAAGCGAGGTCCCACCCCCAGGCTCAGGGTTCTGCACATAAGCGAGGTCCCACCCCCAGGCCCAGGGTTCTGCACATAAGTGAGGCCCCACCCTTCAAGCCCAGGGTTCTACACATAAGTGAGGCCCCACCCTTCAGGCCCAGGGTTCTGCACATAAGTGAGGTCCCACCCCCAGGCCAAGGGTTCTGCACATAAGTGAGGCCCCACCCTTCAAGCCCAGGGTTCTACACATAAGTGAGGCCCCACCCTTCAGGCCCAGGGTTCTGCACATAAGTGAGGTCCCACCCCCAGGCCAAGGGTTCTGCACATAAGTGAGGTCCCACTCCTTAGGCCCAGGGTTCTGCACATAAGTGAGGTCCCACCCCTTAGGCCCAGGGTTCTGCACATAAGTGAGGTCCCACCCCCAGACTCAGGGTTCTGCACATAAGTGAGGTCCCACCCCCAGGCCCAGGGTTTTGCACATAAGTGAGGTCCCACCCCCAGGCCCAGGGTTCTGCACATAAGCATATGCTCCAGCAAGTAGCTCTCTCGGATGCCGACCACAAAATCCAGTTCATAAAACGAAGACTTCCAGGTATTTGGGACTCGGTGAGTGCTTCTGGATCAGGCCCTGGAAGCCATCCTTCATCTCCCCAGCAAACCAACAACAAAGGGCCTCCCATGGGAGGGGGACTGACAGGAACGACAGGAGCAGGGGACTCAGCAATGGCAGGGGAAAGGGGTAGAAGGCATTGTTCAGCTCAGACGAGTGGCAAGCCCAGAGCAAGGCCAGCCCCAGAAGAGACACAGTCAAGGCTGCTTCAGGTAGAGACAGGGCTGTGGTTGTCCTAGGTTCACAGTGCCAGGCCGGCCAGGGCCCAGCGCAGCCGCAGGACGTGGCTCCGTCTGAGCGCTTCTTGGGAGGAGCCAGTGCGGCTTGTGAAGCGTGGGTGCCAGGCTCGGGCCCGATGCAGAATCACTGACCAGCGAGGCTCCTATACTGCAGACACAGAGGCTGGCTCGGCAGAGCCCCGCTCCAGAAGCGGTCTGGCTTAACAGAACGAAAGCCAGCGCTGTACTTACCGTGGCTAACTCGTCAAACTTGCCGAAAAGTTCGTTGAGCAGTTTCACCAGCTCCTGGGCCGTGCACTGGGACGCCAGACCTGTGAAACCCACGATGTCTGCAAACAGGATGCTGTAAGAGGAAGGGGTCCAGGTCACAAGAGTCGCATAGCCTTCCGCACCCTCGCTTCCTGCTCGGAGCAGCGGACGGAGGCACGTCCCTTCACTCGCGGGCAGGAAGGCCAGGCGTAGAACACCTGCACGGCATGCCGCGTGGTCACAGGGGGACCGGCTAGCTGCTGGGCCCTTGAGCTTGCCGTCCCTCACGCTGCATCCTGCCAGCTTCCCAGCAGACCCACTCCCTTCCCAGGGGGCTCACATGGGCATCCACACTGCGGCCAGGAGCAGAAGCAGAGTGGCCAGCTTTTAAGAAAGGAATTCCCCCACCAGCCATCATCTTCCCCTTCTGCTTCCTGGACGCACGCGCCCAAGAGTGTCAGCACCAAAACCCTGAACCACTGTGTGGAGCGGTGGCTTTCAACCCGAGTCTCCACCCTTTGGGGGGTCGAAAGACCCTTTCACGGGGGTCACCTAAGGCCATCAGAAGACGCAGATTCTTACATTATGATTCATAACAGTTATGAAGTAGCAAAGAAAATGACTTTATGGTTGAGGTCACCACACACGAGGAACTGTGTTAAAGGGTCTCAGCATTGGAAGGGTTGAGACCCACTGGTGTAGAAGGTCCATAGTCCCACATGATGTCCTCCAAGTACTAGGTGTCTATTGCAGAACTGGGGTCAGCCTCTAGAACATGGTGCCTGCTCAATCTTCTACAGCAGACAAGACTCTAAAAAGCATCCCCTATTGTTCTCCCCTTCAAAACTAAAACATATTCTGCAAATATCTGAGAGGTGAAAAATCATATAGTGTTGATCTTTTAACATTTTTTTAGCTTTAAGGTCTCTCTTAAAATACACTGCTGAGGGCTGGAAAGATGGCTCAGAGGTTAAGAGCACTGGTTGCTCATCCTGAGGTCCTGAGTTCAATTCCCAGCACCCACTTCTGTAATGAGATCTGGTGCTCTCTTCTGGCCTGCAGACAGACATGCAGGTAGAACACTGTGTATATAGTAAAAAATAGATTACAAGGGACCTACAAATGCCAGATAAAAAGAAACGAGCCTTCTTGTGGACAACGGGGGGTGTCCCCAAAGCCAGGCTGGGCAGCCCAGAGGGAAGCAGGGGTTAGCGCTGATCTCTGGCAGAAATGCCCCACGCCATTAGCTGCAGTGAGGCGACTGTCAGCCCTTCCTTGTGCCCATTTCTCATCTGTGATGTGGAAACGAGAGTTCCCGTGTTAATAATCAGGCACAATCATTTTTATTTTTGTTTTTAAACTTTTTCATACAGTACATTTTAATCACATTCTTTCTCCTCTCCAAGCTCCTTCCCCACTCGTTCACCTAACATTCACGATCCTTCTCTCTCTTAAAAAATATTAAAAACCCCAAACTAAAACCAAACCTCAAAATTTTAAAGTGCAAGCACAACACACACAGACATTCACACATGTGTGCACACGCGTGCACGTGTGCAATTACTCCCGAGAATGAGGCTGGACTCTCCACCGAAGAAAACTGATTTTCCTCTCCCAGCACCGTTTGGACTTTCTGTCCATTCCCCCATCCCTGCTGGGATTCTGTCTGGCTTGAACCCCTGCAGGTCTTGCTGTGGTGTCACAGTCTCTGTGAGTTCAAAGGTGCATCAGTCCTGTTGTGCCTGGAACACTTGTTTCCTCGTGGCCATCATTCACAATCATTTGAAGTGCTAATTTATTTACTTGCAGGTTGCTCACTGAGGACTAGCTACGCCGGACAGGTGCTTGGGATGGGCCATAAGCAGGAGACTACAGCAAGCATCTCCGCCCTCGGGAGTCTTTCTGGCCAGGGGAAGGGGACCTTTGAAGTATGCCAAGGCATTTCACGTAACTGTGGTGAAAACAGATGGGACAGGAGCCTGTGCTGCCAGCTGTGGCTGGACTAGCTTCGCCCGGCAAGAAGGCAGGGTGCAAGGAGACACCGAGGGACCTGGGCTCCAGTGCTGCTGCTCCCGTGTCCTGAGGGACTCAGAGCGCTAACCTTCTTACTTCAGCCTTGATGAGCCTTCCTGCTGACTTGTGGCCCTCATCCTATCCATAAGCCAGGCATCGGCTCACTCAAGATGACTTCTAGACGGTCTTTCCTCTCCTGCTGCTTTCGGGCTCTGCCGCATCTCTGGCTGCCTTCACTTTGACTAGGATCTGCCTTGGTGTGGGTCTCTGAGACACACGGAGCTTCTGGGATTTACAGAGTAACGTGGTGGCATTTTGTTGTTGTTTTAAGAATATTTTTGGTCACTGTTTCTTCCTGTCTTCATCTCGTCGTGTGTGTGCGGATAAACCTGGTGTGCCTCACACAGTTCTAAATGCTTTCCATTTCTCCATTTCTCCCACCCTCTGCAGCCTGGGGACACTCATGGCATCGCCACTAAGCTCACTCAGTCTTATGCTGTCTGCTCAAGTCAGTCACTGAAGCCCCCTAACAAACGCTTCTCTTCACTTTTACGTCTTAAATTTAGAAGTTCTGTTTGATTCAGTTATTTTTAAAAAGTCTACTCTGCTGGTATTCTCTGTTTGGTGAGAAAACATCACCATGGTTTCCTTTAATTACACAGACACAGTTTGTTCTCTGAACACATTTAAAATCGCTGACTTAAAATGTTTGTCTAAGAATCCCAATGTCTAGGCTTCCTTGGGGACAGTTTCTGCTGACTGCTTGTTTTGCCCATGTATGGGCCATACATGCTTTTTGCAGCCTATTCAATATATTTCTGTTGAGAGCACACGACAGCAGCTCTAGAAATCAGAGTCACCCCGTCCCCATCTGAGGACTCTGGTTAGACTGTCTGGTTTTGACGCCATGTGCTGATTTGTGAGCTAATTCGTCTTCTGAAATTCCCACAGCTGTGCCTAGACCTCTGCAAAGCCCCCACGTTCCCTCAGTGCTGGGTTTTCCATTCCATTCTTTCCAGTCACCTTGCTGCGGGTCTCCATTGTTGTCACCACGGCCGGAAGCAGCTGCAGCGCTGAAGGACTGATCACCCCGGAGGGTTTTACCGGGGTGCTGAGCTGCTGCGCTGTGTCTGAGGCTCACACGGGTTTGGTCGCGGTGGCCGCAGGGGACCAATGAGAGGAGGGCTTCCTAGGGAATCCCCAGGCTGTCAAACCCTGCAGGTTGTGACAGCAGAGCTTTGAAGGGGACGCATTCTCAGCTTCCAGGGGCTGTGGAGATAGAGGAAGAGAGACGGGGGGGGGGCAGGTGCAGAAGCCAGGGAGCCCCAGTCTTGATACCTAGCTGTTCCTCTTGAGGACACACTCCTGGGAGATTGCAGGAGTTTGGTGAATCGCCAAGCTGGATCTGATTCCAGTTATCCCTGCTCTTGCTGCTATGAATCATTGCCGAAAACAATGTCGTAGAACTTAGCCCATTTTTCTTTCTAGGATTTTATACATTTCAGGTTACAGTCGATTTTAATTGATGTTGTACGTGGTATCAGATGAGGGTCCAATTTCACTGTTCCATGTGTGGATTTTCGGTTTTTCTAGCACTATCTATTGACTATAACCCTTTCCTGATTCCATTTTGTCACACTTGGGGATACATTGGGTGCATGTATGTAGGTTCAGTTCTGGGCTCCTTATTCTATTCCATCCCGTCTCAGTTTCTGCTTTCATGCCATACTGTGTCAATCATGACAGCAAGGTAATTTGTAGTCAAAAAGTATGTGGGAACACCAGACCTTGAGCAGAGACCCACTTTCCCTTCTGCCTGGGAGTAGGCAGTTGTAGACAATGTTTAGTAAAAACATGTTTACTAAAAACGATACAATAAGTTTCTGGAAAAGGCCTTTCCACGGAAACCGCCCTGACCTCGACCTTGTCTAAAGACTAACCGCACCTTTAAAAACTTACACACATCCACCTCTGGTGTCAGAGCAGAACCAGCCAGGGTAGAGGAGAGAGTAGAAGCATCTCGGTGGGACCTCCAATTGTCAAGAAACATTGTCTACAGCTGCCTACTCCCAGGCAGAAGGGAAAGTGGGTCTCTGCTCAAGGTCTGGTGTTCCCACAAAAGTATAGTGCCATTAGATCAGAAAATTATAGCATGATTTACTCTTCTCAAATTCATTAGGACTTTTTGATGACCTGTTGTGATCTGTACTTGGTAAAGAGCCACAGGCACTTGAGAAGAAGATATATTCTACTGTTGAGTGATACTGTTTTGTCTACAAGCATCAGATCTACATTGTTACCACAGTTCTTCCCCCCTCTTTGCTTTTCTGTCTGCCCACATCAGAGAAAGTGGCTTACTACTGATTAGATGGACATTTCCCCTTTCAGCTCTAGGGATGCTCGCTGTGCCTATTTCAGTGTTTTTGTGCTGGGTGTGTTTTCACGACTGCTATTGTAAACTGGCTTTCCAGCCATGATTAAATGCCATCTCTTCCGACCATTTTGACACAAGTGTACTTGGGCTGACGATGGCAAGGCCATCCTTGCTGTCCCCTGGCTCTCGCTCACACGGATGCTCATCTCCAACTGGAGGGGTGTCCTCAAATCTGAAGCGGGCTCCTGTACACAGACGCAGTTCGGCTGCTTGGTTAGTGTGGTTTGGTTTGTGTCTGTCTGACAGGTGTTCCCATTCAGTCGTCCTGTCCTTGATTGATGGGGATTTTACCCCATTTACATGTAGAGTATTGGTGGTAAAGGCTCACACAGCCTTTGTGTTACATGTTTCCTCTTTGTATTCTCATTCTCGTCCGTGTCCTGCTGCTGCTTGATGGTTTTCTGGATTGAAAGGCTATGGATTATTTTCTCTTTTTTCTTTTGGTTAACTTCTTGAATTGTTAGCTTATTTCTGTTCAGACACATGGCAAAAAAAATGTACCTTTTAACACCTCTTCCATAATTTACTCACCACAATTTACATGTACTTATATATTAAGTTATTTTCTTATACAATTATTTAAAAATCTTTGACTTTCAACTTTTTTATATTTGTTGCAGGCATGTTGCTGTAGGCCTGTGTGTGTGTGTGTGTGTGTGTGTGTGTGTGTGTATGCAATGTGTGTATGTGGCATGGTGTGGTGTGGTGTGTGTGTGGTGTGTGTGTGTGGTGTGGTGTGTGGTGTATGTGGTGTGGTGTGTGTAATGTGTGTTTGTGGCATGGTGTGGTGTGGGTGTGTGTGGTATATGTGTGGTTGTGTGTGTGGTATGTGTGCGGTGTGTGTGTTGATGCACATATATGCTACGGTGTATGTGTGTGTGTAATGTATGTGTGGTGTGGTGTGTCTGGTGTGGTGTATGGTGTGTTTATGTGGCATGGTGTGGTGTGAGTGTGTGTGGTGTGTGTGTGTTGTGTGTGTGGTATGTTGTTGATGCACATATATGCTACGGTGTGTGTGTGTGATGTATGTGTGGTGGGGTGTGTATGCAGTGTGTGCGTGTGGTGTGTGTGCTGTGGTGTGGTGTGCGTGTGGTGTGTTTATGTGGCATGGTGTGGTGTGTGCAGTGTGTGTTGGTGCACATACATGCTACAATGTACATGTGTGTGGAGGTCAGTGAGCAGCATGTAAGAGCGGGCTCTCCGCTTCCACCATGTGTGCTCTGGGATGAGACGCAGGCCAGCAAGCTTGGCAGCAAGCACCTGCACCCACTGACGTCTCTCCAGACAGGCTTCTAATAACTTTGTGCAACCACAATTAGGAAACTATTGCCTTTATACTCACATACAACATATCGATTATTAATAAGTTGATCTTTACCAGTAAGTTTCAGTTTCTCAGCCACTGTGTTGCCGTAAGGAGTCTTTGATTTCTCCCTGAGAATCCCTTTTAGCCCTTTTTCATAATGCAGGTCAGGTGGCCACAAACTCCCACAAGTTTCAACTATCTGTCAGGGTCTCTGTCTGGCCTTTATTTCTGAAGAAGAAATGTACCAGGCACAGCACTTTTTGACAGACTTTTTGTCGTTTGCTTTAAACATTTGGAACATGTGCCACAGGCCCTCTGGCCTGCATGGTTTCTGCCTGGCGACCCACTGACAACTTAACGGGGATTCTGCTGTTTGCCAAAAAGCACCTTCTGCTGCCACTTTCAAAATCCCCACCTTGTCTCTGCTTTTACAGAATTTATCATGTCAGTTTAAGTTCCTCTCATTTGGTGTCATACATGTTTCCTATCTCTGGATGCCCATTTCTGCCTCCATGTGTCAATCCTAAAAGCTCTTTAAAAGCTTTATGGCCTGGGCAATGGTAGCACTCACGTTTAATCCCAGCGCTCAGGAGGCAGAGGCAGGTGGATCTCTGTAGGTTCAAGGTCAGCCTGGTCTACATAATGAGTTCCAGGATAGCCAGGGCTATACAGACAAGCCTGTCTTGGAAAAGAAAGAGAAAGGAAGGAAGGAAGGAAGGAAGGAAGGAAGGAAGGAAGGAAGGAAGGAAGGAAGGAAGGAAGGACGGATGTGTGTTCTGGCCCAGCACTGACTTCTCATAGTCCCTTAAGCTTTCTTCGTTTCTTTCCGTTCTTTTCTCTTTCTGACCTCTGCCTGGGACCTTCCGGGGACCTGTCTTCCAGTTCACTGATCTTTTCTTCTGCTTGAGTCTCTATTCTCCTCTAGGGAATGTTATATTCAGTTGCTACAGTCATAAGCTTTCTGACTTGGTACTCCTATATGCTTTTATTTCCTTGTGGAAAGTCTCATTTTCCATGTGCATAACTCCTTTCTGTCTTCATGAGAGTTATTTTTATTCTCCTGTAAAGTAATCCATGTAATTGCATTTCCTCAGGTCTGTGTCTGCAGGTCTGGCTTCCTCCTTTTCCTGGCTCTTCATTCCCAACCTTCAGAGACCAGCCTCACATCAGAGTGACCACATCACTTATCCCAGCCATGATGCTCAGGCCCTTTATCAACTCTGTGTCCCCAGTAGGCAGCTATACATTCCATCTGTTCACTCCGTCCTGAGCAGGGGAGATACGTGTGACAGCTGTGGTAGCTTCCCAGGCAAGCCCCACCTCTATTTTCCCAGCAAACCAAGACTGAGTCAGACCTTTCAGAGACTGGGGACTGAACTACAGACGCGGGTTGTCTAGGCAGGTTTCAGGCAGCTGGAGAACTGGTCACCCTGATCAATTCTCTCCCTCCTGGGGTGTGTTGGATAGTTTTGTGTCAACCTGACACAAGATAATGTCATCTGAGAGGAGGGACCCTCAACTAGGGAAGCGTCCCCATAAGATGGGGCTATAGGCATACCTTAATTAGTGATTGATGGGGGAGGAGCCACCCCTGGGCTGATGGTCCTGGGTTCTATAAGAAAGCAGGCTGAGCAAGCCATGGGGATCAGGGCAGTAAGCAGCCCCCTCCATGGCCTCTGCGTCAGGTTCCTACCCTAACTTCCTTCAATGAGGGATTACAATGTGGAGGTGTAAGCCAAATAAACTTTCCTCCACAACTAGCTTTCAGGCATGGTGTTCATCGCAGTGAGAAAAATCCTAACTAAGACACAGGCAGACGCAGCAGAGCTGGCTCATGTATCTGTTTATCTTTTTTTTTTTCTTTGTTGAGCAAGCAGGAGACCAACGATGCCTATCCACTCTCGCTACCAGAAGGCCCTCAGCTGTGCCGCCCTCCAGGTTCTCGTTGAAACACTCTGGTGGCTGGTGCCCCTCCTCAGCAAGCAGCTGGGGTACCGAGTTATGTCTCTTCCAACTAACAAGGAGTGATGAGGGAAGTAAAGCCAACGGAGCGCCCGCTAAGCCTGCGCCCAGCCCTCACCCACTGCCCAGGGCATCCTGCACATTCGTTTCACATGGCTGAATCTCAATTTCCTGATTTCCACAATGCAGGCAGCAGTGCCAGCTGCTCCCGGGAGTGAGAGGCGAGCAAACAACCAGGAACTCAGCAAGGAGCTTCTGAGACCTAATTCCGGAGCCATCCAAGTTCAAATGCTGGCTCTGTGGCGACTTTCCGAACAGCTGGGCCCTCCTACACCGCTTCAGCACCGTCCTCTGTGGAGCCTATCAGACCGCATGGCAGCAGGGAGAGAAAGAATTCACAGACAGGCACAGAGCAAGATCTGCCAGCTGATCAGCCGCACGGGCTCCGGCTACAGGCTTGTGCCTTGACGGTTCACAGGCCTCAACCAATTTGGGGTGAGGCAGCCTATGCTACCCAGCATAAGAGAGGTTTTCACATGTTTTTGTGTCTTCAGGGGCCACAGGCTGGGAGTCCTGACACCAAAACCCAGAAGAGCCAGCAAACAACATCTGAACAGAAAGTGCTTTGTGTCACCCCATCTCCTGAGTGCCACTTACCCGGTGGCAGTCTCAAACAGGTGACAACTCAACTATTCTAAGTGCATTAAACTATAAGAAAAAGTAACTTTTTAAGACTACACGATGCATTAAGACAAACAGTTTCAACATGCAAGCAAACTTCAGCCAACGTATCCACACACTGGTTCACACGGAATACTCCGGTTCCTTGCCTGTAAAGCAGAAGCGATAGCTGCAGCCTCTTTAGGGGTGATGAGATGGAGAAAGTGAGGTGAAGAGCCCATCTCAAGTAACAACACCCTGCCGTTATTAAGGAAGGGAGAATCCCCACTCCACTACGAAACCTCACTGCCCAGCACCCGGAGCCCCAAGGACTGATGCTCAAACGCGGACTCAAAAACCCAGGCTTTGGAACAAAACTCTGTCTCCTTACCCATGTAAGAAGCGCAGGCACTGGCGTGTGCCACCTAAGAAGCTGCAGCCTCCTCCACATGGGACCAGCTTCCTCGCCAGGCCCCCATCCTCCTGAGCTTCTTGACCATAACTCCTCTCTCCCCCCTAAGCTACAGAGATAGTCTAGCTCCCCCTCCCCATCTCTCCCTCCCCACCCCTTCGTCCACTTCCCAGCTCCTCTACCACCCCCAACGCACCTCACCACCTCTGCCCTGCAACCCCCCCAATACACCATTGAGCTGGGTTGGTGCCCGCCCTACCTCACGTTGTCATGTCTCTGGATGTAAATCTTGTGGAAAATCCTCTCAGGGGGCTTCAGGAAGTCTTCCTTCATCTCCATGGCGACATTCCGGGGCAAGAGGCTCATGAGCAACCGTTCCTGAAGAGGAGATGCATCGTTTGTTAGACAGCAAGGACAAGCTGTCGTAGGTGGGCGGTCTATAGACCCTGCTCAGGCAAGCCAGCACGTGCCCAGGCTGCAGGCACTGCCCAACCTCCCAGAGCCCCAAATGTGGACTACCACTGAGCAAGCAATTGACTCCAGAGGCGTAACCCAACGTAGGTGGGCCCGATGTCACAGACATGCGTACAGCCTTCGGATGCTACTCTTCTGGCCCACCGTGCACCCTGAGCTTCAGCCTAGCAAATTCTACTGTCTCCAACCAAGGCCCCACTAGGCCCCTCTCCCTTCCCTCCTCTGTTCCAATGGAATCCAGAAATAGTCCTCAAGATTGGTCTGTTAAGTCTGACTCCCCATTACAGGAAGACACAGGCCCAGGGACAAGCTGACCCCTTCTCTTGGCCATTGTCTCCTTGTGTCTCGCTGATCTGTGTAGGGTGTTCACTTTCTCTCCCCAAGAGGAAAGAATAAGTGTATGTTTTTTCCCGAAGGGATGAAGCACCCTGGTGAATCCATCCCTGAACCCTCCCAGGCTTCAGTTTCCTGTCTGTGGCCCTCCCTCATCTCAGCTCTGCCTTGTTTTGACCTGCCTGCCTGTTGCTGTGTTCTGGATCTGAAGTGTGAGGGCCACCATTTTCCCTCAGGCCTCTCGTGCCCTATCCCATGTTGCCTTGCAAAGGAAGACCAAAAGCTGGTCTTTGAATCTCAAGAATGTGGAATAACAGCCTACAGACAGTGGAGGACAAGATTACGGAGGCAGCTCAATCCCTGCTCTGATGTCACTGGGTTCAAACCAAAAGAAAGACCAAGGAAAGACCCAGAACAGGGCAGTTCTCAAGAGAAAACCATTGGATGGTAAGTGTGCCACTGCGGGCCAAAGGCTCTGTCTGAAAAGCCTAAGCTCTGATCCACCCTCTGCAGCAAAAGTCAACCGCCAACACCTGTCCCTTAATACGAGGTGGTGTCAGAGAAGCCACAGAGGGATATCTTTACACACTTGACAGTATCCATACAATTCCCTTCCCCTTGCCAGTATGATGTCGCAGGAAACCAGCCTAACCCAAGACCGCAGATAAGACAGAGCTTCACACAGTCTAACCTAGGCGTCGCGATTCCAGCAGGACATTAATAACACCAAAAGCTAGGAGAGCTGAAGTTAGTGTTCAGCGAGCACAGACAAGCAAGGCATGCAGACACCAAGAGGACAGCTGCTGGAATAACTGCAGACACCTCAAAGCAGCCGTTGCCAGGGACCACAGAGAGGCTGGGAGGTGGTTAGGAGGCAAAGGCTTGCTACACAAGCGTGAAAATCAGGGTTCAGATCCCAGCACCCACAGGAAAGACAGGCGCGGTGACACGGGCGGGAGAGGAGACAGATGCATCCCACACGGGAATGTCCCCTCTGGCCACCCAGAGCTCCCGTTCAGTGAGAGACCTTGTCTCAAGAAGTGAGGGGAGCCTGATTTTAGAGAAAGTGCACATCAGAGGGGGAGCTGTAGAGAGTGGTCTTACGCATCCGTAAGCACTGGCCACTCCCGTGTGGGTGTGTTCACGGGTACGTAAAATCACTCCCCGTGGTTCCCCTTCTACCAGAGAGCATCTTCATCAAGCAGCGCCGATCAAACGGAATACCCACACGTACAGGAATGAAACTCGACCCTTATCTCTAGCCCTGTACAGCATTCAGCTCCACATGGGTCAAGGGCTGCAGCCAGACCTGACTGACACCCTGAATCTGACAGAGAAAAAAGCCAGACAGTACACCGCAACTTACAAGACAGGAAAGCCAGACAGTACACCGCAACTTACAAGACAGGAAAGGACTTTCTGAGCAGGGCTGCACTCGTTCGGGCATCAAAACCAACAACTGACAAATGCAACCTCACGAAACCAAAAGCCTCTGCACAGCAGAGGACACGATTAAAGCAAAGAGGCAGCTGCAGAATGGTGAAGGTTTTTACCAGCACAGCATCTAACAGAAGGCTATTATTTATAATATTCGAAGAATTCAAAAACCATGTACCGAGGGGGAAAAACAGTTTTAAGCAAGGACTGAAACACAGTTCTCAAAAGAAAAATACAGGCAGCTAAGAAATATTTTTTAAGTTGCTCAGCATAAGGGAAATGCAAATTAAAACTGCTTTGAGATATCGTCTTGCCTAGGTTAGACTAGCTAAGATTAAAAAACCAAATTATAACGGTGGAATAGAGACTGATGCAGCCTCTGTGGAGGTCAGTGTCGTTACTCCTCAAAACGATAGAAACTGGTCCGCCATAGGATCTGTCTACACAGCTGCTGGGCGTATCCCCAAAGACACCGATATCCTACTACAAAGACACCGATATCCCACTACAAAGACAGACACCTGCCCACCCTCGTCATTGCTGCCGTACTCACAATAGCCAGGAAATGGAAACAGCCCAGATTTCCATCAACCAGGGAGGGGATAACGAAAATGTGGCACTCATTCAGGAAGGAATGCTATTTAACTATAAAGAAAAATAGTATCATGAGACCCTCGGACAAATCGACGGAGCTGTGATCTGTCCCCTCTCCCTTGAAATATCCCACGATGGCCCCTTACCAGTTTCTTTTTTTCTTCTGCAAGTATCCCGATTTCAACAAACATTTCTAAAGAGTTAAAGCTAGCATCTACATATGAGAGAGAGTGTAAGGCATTTGTCTTGTGGATCTCTGTTACCTCCCTGAGATCAGTGGTGGCAAAAAGGAAACAGGAGAATAATGGAGCGGGAAGGATGAAATGGTGGGGGAGGACAAGAGGGAATAAGGGAGGTATAACTAACACTAAAACCCTTTGAAAAGGCCACAGAGAAACCTACTTCTGTAAAAGTTTCCTAAAATAGATACACATAGAAGGGTAGTTTAAAGGGAGTCACCCTATAATAGATAGAGAATACCTCTCCTAGACATCACAGGCTACCAGATAGATAAAAAGCCCAGTGCCAGCTCTTCTCAAGTTTGGAGGACAATGGGGTTCCATAGATGCCCCAAACGTTGTAGACTAATGCACTTGTCCTTGGTTACCCTTCAGAACCTAGTGGTAACACCCCATTGCTGAAGATAACACAACTTGAGTCATAGGGCATGGAGCAATTAATGAATTTCTGAATTGAAAGCTTCAGCCTCCGTGCTACCCGGGGAGAAAGGCAATCAACAGTCTTACCCAGCTTGGAATCCTGAAAGATACAATAATGACTGGCCTGGCAAGATATGCCCACTGCTATAATAGTGGCGTGAATGTTATGGGAGTAACCAACCATTTTCTGCTTGGATTTCAGTCCTGCTTCACAAGACAAAACTCATATTTGGTACCATTAACTAGGCCAAGAACCTGTGACTAGTAGTAGATCATAGTCCCTAGACAAGAACTTACTGTTGTTTGCTAAATGAACATAGAATTAAACTGCCCCCTAAGTACTTATCTTTATACTCTTAGATTAGTGCATCTCTTAACCTTCATCAAAGAATCCTATCTTTGCTGCACATGGTTATTATTACAGATATCCATGACTGGTCAGCACAAAAAACTAAGAGCCTGCAAAATTCTCAGCCGTAAATGAGACATCTATATCACACCCTTCCTCTCAAGATGGGGTGACTATCAAGAGGAAGCTGAGAGACAGTAGAATCAGAGGGAGTAGAAGACTGCAGAGAAATAGTGTTTTCTGAACATGAGAAGGTGTCACACATATGAAATCACAGGGGCTATGAATGCATTCACAAGCCCTACACAGATCCCAGCAACCCAAATCCCAGGGCAAACGACAGAGGGGCTTATGATGCCCCTCCCTTAGCTGAGGAACCATTGGCAACTGATGACTGTTCATGCTCCAGAAGATAGCCCTGCCCCATGCACATACCAGCCGCGCTGGACTCGGTGCACTTAAAACAAAGCAACACCCCCAAAGGAATAATGGTGAGGAAGAAAGGGGGGATGGAGATAAAGGAATGAGGTGGATAATTTCCTTTTTAAAACATAAAAATTAAAGGTGGAGAGCCATAGAGGAAAGACACATTGGTCTCTGGCCACCAAACACACAGACACAGGTGTGTGCGATGCACACATACACCACAAGCATCCAAAATATAAAAAGAAGCGGCAAGAAGCCTTAGGTAGCAATTTCCAACACATAAGTGAATTATATGTCCTACCGAATGAGATTGAATCCAAGGACACCATGCTAGCTCAGTCCTGAAATACCAATGTCATATTCCACAACAACAGGGTAAAGAATAAAATACCAGCAATGGGTCCTGATAAAGAAAACAGCAAAATGCAGGTTTTATCTATGGTGAAAATGATTATAAAGGAGAAACCAATAACTTCCTCATGTTACTAAAGGGCAGCCCCAGAAAGCCACACTTAACTGTAGAACTCCAAATGCTCCCACCGGAACAAGAGGTGGACAGTGACTCTCATTACTCGCATTCGCTACCACAGCTGGCAATCTAGTCAGTGAGGTGAGGTAAGAAGAGAGCTACAGAATAGAAAGGAGAAACACCAAGTACATGGTAGTCTCTATGCAAAACACAAAATATCTACGGAAACAAAACAGATACACCTGAGACAAATAACCACCTTCAAAGAGCCCCATAGACAAACCTACCGGGAACCTACCACATGCCCACACAGTAGTAATGGACACGTGTACACACACTAACGACTACAGTGTTCACAAGTGTTCAAAAGAAAAATCCTGAGATGTAAAGCTGGTATTCTGAAAATCAAGGCACTAAATAATCAAAGAAGAGCTAAGTAAATGGAGTCGCAATCTTCAGTCAGGAAGGGAAGAGTCAACTCTGTAAGGATGCAAATTCTCTCCACGGGGCATCACCATCCCTGACTTCAAGCTCTATTATAGAGCTGTAGTCCTGAAAACAGCTTGGTATTGGCACAAAAATAGACAGGTAGACCAATGGAATCGAATTGAAAACCCTGATATTAACCCACACACAT